ACACACACACATTCATGCAGACTCTTCATTACTGAATTTCTTTAAATATAATGCAGGGTTCTAGTATTTGGTGGCAACTATTTGAAAGGTGAAATGCTGTTTATAGTGAACCAATGCAAAATGGCAAAACAAAATTAATAGTCCTTCTACGCAAATTGTCCCTTCCTGCTGAAAAGTTGTTCTAAATGCTAAAAAAATATTACAAAAGTTAATTTTAATAACATTTACTTACTTGCAATGGAAATTATAAAAAAAAATGTAACTTATTTGGATCAAATTTGGGGAAAAAGATGAAATAGATAATTTCACTGTCATTAATAGTGCAAATACATTCAGACTTCTTATTAATGGAATTAAAATATTTAGGAAGAGCTAGAATACAGAACAATGATTAGTTGATCTACCAAATGCTGTATGTCTTAGGAACATTTTAACAATCAAAATATCTGGAAAAAAAAAAAAAAAAAAAAAGGAAAGTTATTTTTACACAAGACATGTATGGTTCTGAAACCTGTCATTAATTAAAAGCACAAGAAACTCACCTAGCTATTTCTGAAATAAAAGACTTGATAAAAATCTTTGGTGCCATAAATATGGATGGTTTGTGATGACATATATATAACAAACTACAAAACAAATAAATAAGTAAAGTGTAAATGATTGATCTCATGAATTTTCTTCTTTTTTTCCCTATTAAAATATTTACCTTTTTACTGGCTTCAGATAATGAGTTTCTATGTTTATTACTTTTCCTACAAAATTTTGATATTTTTATTTTGAAATTCCAAGCATTAGGTTAAAAAATTTTAAAAAAATAAATAAATATGATAAAAAAATCTTAAAAAGTTCAGGTTTTAATAGTTCCCTAAAAGAGCACTTTTAAAGTTTAATATGGTTTATCAATACAGATGGCAGCGGTGGAATAGCAAAATATTTTATAGGATACAAGATAAATATTCATTTACAATTACCATGGAAACATTACATATCATCAGTATATTTGAAAACACATACACATGACAAAATACATATTCTACAAAAATATTTATGTTTTTAATTCGATATAGCATGAATTCAATGCATTTTTTATTTAAATCTATAAGATAAAAGGTAAAAAAATAATATTCTGTATTCACGATATTCTTATTCTAGATTGTATATTAAGAATTGGATCTATTGCTTTTCAGTGACTTCTGGATTTAAGGAGTGGCAGATTTTTAAAAATAAAATTTTTTTTAATAGTTTGATATGTTCAACAGAGTATTAAAAAAAAAAAAAAAAACACCTAGTTCCTTTAATAAATCTCTGGAAATTTCCATATCTTCTCGGTGCAATCCTAGAAGTCGCAATGGGACACTCCTTTTTGGGCACTCCATTTTATGACGTAATATTGGATATGCCTCTTTCTAGAAACAAGTTACAGTTACGCTATAGCTTCATGTTTGAAGAAAATTTAAATTATATTTTAACTGAGTTGAAATGTTAGGTTTATAATATTCCGGCAAGAGATTTTTTTTTATTATAAATCTACTTTGTTGTGTGCTATTGTTAACTTTTAACACAAGGAATTAGATCTAATAAATGCATTGTTAAGATTTACCAAATGACTGAAAATTTACAACTGTAAAGGCTCAAAATGATAAACAAACTCTTTGGTTCAATTCTTTAATGAATATGTCAAATGTTGGTACTCCAGCATACATACAAAGTTGAATTTTCATTTTTTTACTAATTGGAAAAAAAGCATGATTTTCAGTGGATAAAATATTGACTGCAAGGTCATATAAATACGTGATTTGTGAAACGAATATGAAATTGGTTGAGCGAAAGAACTATATAAATGGTTTTGAATAGATGTGTAGAGTTATGTGAAACAAATGCAGAAATCGTATTACAAGGTCTGTCCAAAAGGTATCGTGGTTTACGAGGAGTAAATTGAGAATGCGTGGTTTTTGTGAATTACGTATACATAACTGGTTAAGTGCAGGAATGATTTTATATGATCCAAGTTAAGAACACAAGTTAAAAAGATTGTCAACAGATTGGTTGAAGTCACAGTTAATGAGTCATTTTTAGAAATAATTAAAGCAAATGTTTTCCCACGATCATTTGTGATTTTCACTTGCTGGAGAACATTCAGCTACCTTGACGCGTAGTAATTTTGTTACAGTCAAAAGTCGTTAATCGGACTCGTCGCGACTTCGGCGATTCCGGATTATAGATCATCAGTTTAAATCTGGTAAGATGGCATGCAGAAATTATAAAATTAAAAATATGAAACCGTAATTTATGAAATAAAGAACAATTATGATCTAAAGGGTATCAAAATTTACAAAAAAAAAAAAAAAAAAAAAAAAAAAAAAAAAAAAGCTTAATATTTATTTGTTTACTTTATTAAACATTTCTTTCAATGTAAGTTGTTTAAGTTGCTTCGTTTTTTATGTGATAATACATTCTCTTTAATTCTATAAACAGACATAATTTCTTGTTCAGTTACAAAGTTCCGCTGTTCAAGTCCTATAATTGCTGTGTCGAGAATACCGACTAATTTGTCAATCGAAATTTTTTCGTTTTCAATAACCTCTGTCACTTTCTTCGCTATCGGAAGCGAATTATAATGACGAGGAATTTGATTTAAATCATATCAAAGACGGAGTACATCGAGATGAAATACTACATTTAGTAAGGAATTATAAGCCAAATAGAATAAAAAACATCTGCCCTGAAGATAAGGATAGTGCTGACAGATCAACTTCCAATTCATTGCGCGCAGCCGCGTTAAAGATAAACAAAGGATATGCCTTTATCCATTTTTTGCAGCAATTCCACTTTTGTTTAATGACTTCGAAACATACTTTCGCTTTGTAGATCCTTTACATATTAGTAAATATATATCGGAAATTCTATTTGACATAATCGAAAGTTCAAGCTTACTTTTATAAAATTGCTCTAACAGTCTGCAAAAAATAATAAGCCGAATCCAATTCGAAGATTAAGGAACAACACAATCTGCAACATTAACTGAATTAGATAATTTTAGCTTAGCTTATACCGTCTGTTATACATAAAATGCGCATTCGTAAACGTATTTTGCACACGCGCATATTCGCTGCCGTAAAGATCTTACGTGTATGCATCAACGCGACGCATGCGCATAAAGTTTGTTGCTTTGAGGTCCGGATTATAGATCATTCCGGATTAACGACTTTTGACTGTACTGGGTAATGACACTGTTATGTTAGCTTAATTTTGGGTCGGGTCATTTTTCTGGAAATGTTAATTTTTTTTTTTTTAAAGAATTTAAATCCATGTGTGATATTTCTCTGTCGATCATTTGTTCTGTGTTTCTGTTTGCAATTTTTTTTTTATTTTAAACCGGTCTATTTTTAAAAAGTTTGAAAAGAGGATCCCTCTTTTATTTTCATTATGTAGATTTTGAAACTGTTCTAGGGGTACCATGATTATGGCTGGTGCTTTATGGCGATGCTGTGCACAGTGTTGAGGTTGTGTACAATGCCAGATTTGTGCAATTCTCCGATTCTTTTTAAGTAAAAATAGATCGCTGTGTACAGAAAAACAGTAATATATTGTATATTATACGCAACGTATCATTTTTATATTTTTAATTTCTGTTCTTGTATTAATTGTAAATTGTATTTTTAATCATAATTTTTGGGTTTTATATTTGATTTCTCATTGTTTTCTTTTTGATATGTAGATAATATTTTTTGACATACGATAAATTTTGATAGTTTGACAATCTTTATGTCAAATGTCAGTCGCCAAAATCACTAACTTGCATTCGATAAATGAAAACAGTTCAACTGATAAATCTCAGATAGGATCGCCTGAACTGTTTTCTTAAAATAAATGACGATCATTGAGGTATATGATAGGTTCTATTCCATACAAAAACAGCCCTATATGATAGGTTCTATTCCATACAAAAACAGCCCATTAATCTAGTAATGTCGTATAATTGAATAGACGACATTACTAAATTAATGGGCTGTTACTAGATTAAATCTGTTAGTGTATTAAAAGTAAATATATATACTATTTATTTATGTACTGCTGCTTTTTTGTAAAGTTTAGTACGATAATGCTAACAGTTTCTTTAGCTTTGATCATTGTTCACTGGTGGTAGATCTCCAAATGATGGTAGGTCACTTTTTGAAAAAATACCTACCTGTGTTTACAACCATCACTCATGAAACTATGTTTTTTCATCTAATCAGGTTACCCTATTGCAGTGAATTTAATAATTTAGGATTTGTCAAAAGATAAATAAGTGGCTAAAATAAGTGGCTTCCAGAAACAATTATTCTTCATGAAGAAAGGCTGCATTCAATATAACATTATCATGAAATTAAAATGTAACTGAAAGCCAAAATGGCTGTGCAACATTCATCCATGCACGGGTTTGATTTGTCAAATCATGCATTCCTTTTTTTTTTTTCACTGTACGATTCATTACTTAAGATGTCAGAAGTAAACATGAGTTGAATTTTGCAAACAAAACCTTATTGCAAATGAGTTACAACACAATGCTTGTTTGGAAAAACTAAAAGAGAGAGGTATGTATCAGTTCATTATTTTGTCCTAATGTTCAAATAGATAGATACACTGTAAAAATTAATAAAAGTTTATTCAGAAAAAGAAAAGGTTATGTTCTTTCAGTATAATTTGTTTTTTTTTTTTTTTTTTTTTTTTTTTTTTGAGATTCTATCATGAAATTAAGAGAATATTTCCTTTTTAACTCCTACTGTTTTATTTCATGTAGTGCTGAGACAAAGCAGGGCAAGAAATATACCAAAATGCATCAACATGGTGACAAAAATGCATGATGCAGCTTTAATGATAAAATTAATAAAAATAATTATAGTAATAACAAAGAATTGCTAAAATCACTAGAAATAATATTATCAAAAAAATTCTACTTTATATTATAAACTGATGACTTGTTTGAATTAAATATACAGAGAAAAATAATTACTTACATCATCATCATCATCCTTGATCTTAGCCATATCGCTTTTCTTAGTGGTAGGAGAATCTTCTCTACTATTTGAAGAGCTATTGGCATCAATTCCACTGTCTATTTCTTCAATTATAGGCATGCTGTTAAAGAAATGGAATAAGAAATGTGAAGACTACCATTGGCATTTCCTTTTCAAACACTTTCAAATCAAAGTACATAAAACGAACCAGAATACTACGCAGAACCTTTTTATAAATATTTGCACATATTCTATTAAACATATCAAACACATAAAAGAGTATAGTGCTTTTTTTCCCTTTCTATTCTCAAGCAATCACATAAAGAAATTTATCAAAATATTTCTTAACAAGTTCACATTATTATCCATATAGGTTAAGCAGACTTTACCATTACCCCGGAAGGGTACCGTTTCTAAATTTCTAACATGTACAAATATTTAATGACTAAATTTTGAATAATGATCCCTTTGCAACATTACATCTATGGTCAGGGATGCTTTGGGCCAATGGTTGAGATATGGCTACCGCTGCTGGCTAGGACTTGTCCTTCACACACACTCTATCATGAAGTTCTTTCATGACAGTGGAGGGCATTATCCTCACGCGGATTGTGCGTATTAGTTCACTTGTCCCTACAACCTCTGTTTGTCTTCTGGAGGCGAGGATAAATCGTAGACTTCCTTATCTGTGAGCTCAGCCACATTGTTGCTGTGCCCTGCAGAAGCATAACAAAACTTGAAATGCAAGAACGAATCCATATGTCTTCTTTGGAATTGGAGCAGAAGCAAAACACTCAGCCTCTCCAGAGACTATATATAGATGTTTCCACTGTTGATGCCATTAAAAACACTACTGCTGTTTTCTGCTTCTACAGGAAATTGGCACTCAAATACTGTTATCTCTGGACCGTGAAAGGCCTTTGTTGCATCAGGTTCTTCTATTTACAATAAAATTAATGTAAAATTCCTTACCTGCTGCATCTTCAGTGTTCTCGATGCCAGGCTTCTAGTAATCACGTTTTCCAGTAAGAGTTTCTATTACAATTAGCAGGCCATCTTGTCTTTTAATTATTTATTCAAAGAAAATGCTAATATACACTATTTACAAGGTAAGTGATAATTATTTAAGACAGTACATTTTTAACTCTGAGTCTTACGCTCCTCAAAGCGGTTCCAATCTCGACTGCTTTCTCGGAACTTAATTACAGCAAAAAGTAAAGGAAGACATGCCCGCCATCTAGTGGCAAGAATGGGACATCCTCCCACCTTTTGATTTTACCTCGATAAGATGGAAAAATCAAAACAAAATTTATCAATAATGAAACAAAAATTCAAATACAACTTTCACAGATATGAAAAGTAACTAATGATCTAAAATTAATACTTACAAAGAAGTATTACAAATCCAAACATTTTCTGCATTACATTCACATCATATCCAGATAACATGTTCCAAATGACTACTGTTAGGACAATTAAATTTCTAATATACTGAAAAGAAACTAAAATTAGTACAGCAATTTAAAAATATGTAACAGGTTTTACAGTTTTATGTCCATATTTAGTTTGATAGTTCATATCACTGTCACACTTATCGGCAAAATTCTTTCTGTTCATGGTGAAATCACTAAACAAGTTAGGTCTATCAAGTTCGAGAGGATAAATACGTTTCACAGGTCTTAGGAGTTCAACCGTTGCAGTTTTCACTTTGAAAACACGTACTTCGTTGTCTTTCCCAGGATATAGTTCTACAACACACCTATTGGCCATCTATTCTCTTCTTGTTGTCGCTGCCGACAACACCAAGTCATTTTTGTTGATAGTCCGAGTAAGATCGTTTAGGATGGTTTTTTGCACTAGGATAGCTAAATATTCATCACGAAATCTTTTGCTGAAAATGTTCTCTTAAGTTCTGCAAGAACTTCTATCTTTTTGTCAGATTCATGGTATCCAGGTAGTCTAAGTCTGGTACTCCTGACGTCGTGTACATCTTGTAGAAACATTGAAGGAGTTAGTGCTCGTAAGATTACTTGGATCTTCTGAAATGTACGTAAGGGGTCTAGAGTTAATCACCTGATTCGATATCACAAAGTATAGTCAACATTTCCTCGTAAGAGACACAGGATTTTCCGAGAACATTTCTCAACATCATCTTCACTGTTTGTACCAACCTCTCCCACCACCGCCCCACCATGAAGCAGTTGGGGGATTAAACTTCCACGGTATTCTCATACTAGTTGAATTACATTCTATTTCTTTCAATCTATCGATCTTAAAGGATTTTCAGTTCCAACGAAATTAGTGCCATTGTCGCTGTAAATAATACTTGGACGACCTCTTCTGGCAATAAATCTCCTTAATCCCAAGATGAACGCATTTGTTGATAAACTTTCTATCAAGTTCAAGATGTATCGCGCGATAGACTGCGCAAGTAAAGAGCAAGATTCCAGGCCTTTTTTCCTTTTCTTAAATAAAGAGGACCGGCTACATCGACTCCGGTCACTTCAAACACCAGAGCATCTGTAACTCGATCTTCAGGAAGAGGTGCTGGAACAGTCTCTATATTCTTTGCGCTATATCTTCTACAGCGAACACACTTCATAAGAAACTTTACGTACTGTTTTTCTTTCCTCTCAGGACCCAATTTCTGTCGAATGTTGGCTAGTACGAATTGCACACCAGCGTGGGATAGTCGCAAATGGTAATCTAAAATTAACCTATGAACTAAGTCATGATTTGAGGGCAATACAATTGGACAGAGAAAATTTTCTTCTTCCCTCTCTTCTAGTAATCTTGGTCTTTAAAACCGAATAAGGCCATCTGAGTCAAGAAAGGTACAAAGGTTGCTAACTTTAAGTTCTTTGCCAAATGCTTCTATTTGTATTATCTTGCATATTTTCTTTTCTACAGTTTCTATTTCAGGGACCGTGAGTTTCTCCTGATTGTTTAGAATCTGGTCTTCTGCAGTTTGTTGATAAATCTGCATATCCAAGCAGTTATTCTTAACATTTTTTATGGTAAGATGAATATTTCTCAAAAAAATGTTCTACCCTTTGCGTATTTAGTGCAGAATTGACTGATTTCCTTTTTTCTGAATTTACTATTTCCATGTCCGGTATTTCCCTCCCTTTGTTCTAGGCCATTCTTCCTGATTTTTCTTCAGCCAGTCGGGGCCCTCCCACCATCTAATGCTACTAAAAGTTGTTTGGTGGTGCAACCTCTTGATGGGAGGTCAGCTGGATTTTTTGTTCCAGCAGTCAATATGTTTCCACACGTTTTTGGATCCGTCAGTTTCCTAATCTCCCTGACTCTGTTTTCCACAAAGACAGCCCAGACAATCTCTCTTCCCTTTGAATCCATGTTCAAAACTGTTGTAGAATCCGTTCCAAAAATGCGTTTCCACATTTTGCCATTGTAAACCATTTAAAACGGAAGAGCAGCATAGTCTGGCGCCTATCGTAGCAGCTATCAATTCCAGACGAGGGATCGTGATAGATTTTACGGGAGCTACTCTAGACTTCGATGCTAACAGATGAACTTCAACTCCAGAATTCGTCACAGTTCTCAAGAAAACTGCAGCAGCATACACATTACTACTGGCATCACAGAATGTGTGAAATGCTGCAGAACTTCCTATTGTCCTTGCTGGAATGTATCCAACGTAGGAGGGATATTTCTTTTAAGAGAAAAAGGCTTTTATACCAATTCACAAAATTTTGTTTTGTACTCTCGTCAACTTCAGTATCCCAAGAAATTCCTGTTTTCCATAGGTTCTGCAACAATATTTTAGGATACAAGAGAACAGGACTCACAATACCAATAGGATCAAATATTTTGTGTGTTACAGCGAGAATGTTGTTCTCTTCGTTATTATACCCATTTCAAAATCTTCTAGCCAATTCAGATTCAAAGTTAAATTATCTTTCTGACAGTTCCATAACAGACCCAATACGGGGTGAAATAGTTTCCTGTTTCAGGTTATCTCCATTATGTAAACCAACCTCGAAGATTAAACTTTCCTTCATTCATTATTTCTCGAGATTTTTCGATGAACTGAATCATCTCGGATTCTTTGTCAAAACTGGCAACAACGTTATCTACGTAGAAGCTACGCAGAGTTTAGCTATTATCTCCGTATCATATGAAGAATTTTTCATGTACTTTTGTAGATGGAATTCTATAACAGCTGCCAAAAGGAAAGGACTACTCTTAACCCCAAATACTACCCTAGTAGATGACGAAATATTTCGTTTTCCTTTCTTCCACATCATTCCACCAGAAAAACCGAAGCCAGTCTCTATCTTGAGGCCTTACACTGATCTGTAAGAAAGCCTTTTCAATGTCTGCTATAGCAGCAAACTTGCCGTCCAAATCTCAACAAAAGAGATGGAATTAGTTCTATCAAATTTGGTCCACACTCCAAACACTGATTTAGAGAAAGGAGACGATTGTTTCCTCGCAGACGCATCAAACACCGGTCGAATTGGTGTTGAGCTATTTGTTTTTTTTTTCTTTGATCAACCGGTCTATGTGGCAAATAATGTCCATAGTCAACCGCAATGCATTTTCTTTAACTTCTTCGATCACTCCTAAGTTACACCAGTCATTAAAAACTGCATTGTATGAAGAAAATAAACTTTGAGATAGAAAGTTTCTGGGTGGTAGATTGTAAGACGTTTCAAACGCCTAAATCCTTGTGGGTGGAAGAGTGGTACATGATTCTCCGCCCACGGAAGTGCGACTTCATAACGCCCTTCTTCGTTTAGAGATACAGAATTTTCGAATTGCAATTTTGCTTGGAAATCCCTTTCCTCTCTAGCCTTTTTTGTAACTGGATCTGTTATTTTGATAACATCAAGCCTCCACAGTTCTGACAACATGGCATCAGAAATATGTAAAGATAACGAAAGCGTGTAAAAATGACATTAAATCTTTTATGTTATAATCGGTGCCAACATTTTGTGTTCTATGAAATTCAAACGTTAATTCTGAAGGCAATAACTTCAAAATCATCAGACACAGCAAAGCGCTGTAAGATTCCGATACAACATCTAACGTTTCGAGCCATCTAATCTGTGTTTGTACTTTATCATACAAGTTACGAAATGTTTTATGTCATTC